ATTTTCTCTATCCAGTATGGTTGAATGAAACCAGATTCCAGACTGTCTTCTCGAATACAGAAGAGCAATTAATAACTCAGGGCATTTCCTCTGTATTTGAAGTTTTGGCTTCTGCTGAGAAGTAGATTTGTTTTGGGGGAGTATCGTTTTCCGAGATGAAATCATTATGCGATCGGGGACCGAGCGTTCTCTGCACAAAGTACCGATGGAATTGCAACACCTCTTGCTGTTGCAGAGAGTGGGGCAAGTGACACTCTGATTTTAAGAAACCAGACAAAGAAAGGGAAGGCTAATGCTGGGCCAAATGCAGTCCTGGTGCCAGAGGATGCAGTGCTCTTCACTCCGATGAAGTTATTTGGCTTACAGTAAATTAGCTCATGGTTGGGAAGAATAGAGACAAGGCATAGAGGGTTTTTAAGTGCAAAGAGACAACGATAATGTCCAAGATTCCCTCCCACTTGTAAATAATATTGTAGGCTGAAGGGGATCCTAAGCTCGGTGAAGGGCTGTTACAGCGTTGCGCCACAATCCTCAAACTCGCAGCGAACGCATATTTAACAAGATGGTTATTTGCTGCTAAGTAAACAGACTAATTAATTCTTGGGGGGGAAATATGTTCTTTGAGGCTTAACAGCTATGAGGAAGATTGTTTATGGAAACCACAGTAATGGCAGACCGGAAAGCACCATATGCAATAGATAAAAAAAGAAAATTGGTTCATAAACAGCGATGCAAAAGATAAACACACAGCGTGGCTGTTCAGCCTCAGAAAATGGAAGTCAGGTCCTCAACTAGTCAAAGTTGGCTTAGCTGTAGAGACCTCTGAAGCTTTCTTCCTTCCCCAGGTAATGGATTGTGTCCCTTTACATTAAGTGAGAATCAGGCTCCAGAAGTCCTGGGTTCTTTTCCTGGCTCTGTAAAAATGTATACATATTTGGGTTGGAAGGGACCTCAGCAGATCATCGAGTCTGACCCCCTGCCCTGGGTAGGAAAGAGCGCTGGGGTCAGATGACCCCAGCCAGGTGCATGTCCAGCCTCCTCTTAAAGACCCCAAGGTAGGGGAAAATGCAGACTCCGTTGCAGTCGACATATTGGGGTCTATCACTGTCCAGGGTGATTATGTTGGGAGGATCATAGCTATATGAGGTGCAGAAGGCCATGAAGCTTGAAGGGCGAGTGAGCAGGTGGACTCAAAGAAAGGGATGGCATAGGATGAGAAAATGCTAGGTCAAATCCAACCCGAGTTGTAAGGTACCAAAAGTTATCGCTGCTTTTTGGGTCTTTCCTGACCTAGGTGAAGAGAAGGTGACAAGTCTTGCCCCATTCGGGGTAACTAGGGGAGACAGGTCTTGTTCACACTGCCGCATGCTCTCATGTCTAGACAGCGATTCCTTCAAGAGAGGGATGGTGGTCACCCTCTGGGTATATGCACAACACTTAACATGGCAGGACCTCCCTCCTCTCTGGGGTCTCCGCCGGCTGCTGTAATACAAACAGTAATCCCTTGCACAGCAGCTCTGCTGTCATCAGCACTAGTCCTCATTGCTGGCAGGCTGAATACAAAGGGGCCCGGTGATTAACGCCCATCCTTTGCTGTAGTCTTTCTGGAACAGGCAGAAGCCGCATGGGTGGGAAGCTTGTCGCAGCGCTGCCCACACTATCCCTGTTCTGGTGACAGGCAGAAAGAAGTCTCTGATCTCAGACCCTGGCACTCCAGTGCTTCTTGTCAGCATCCAAATCCCTCGAAATGGAAGGCAAGTGTTCCCAGAGGGCTGCCAGATGCCAGGGACTGAAGGGATTAGCCTTGGCTTTGATGCTGCAGAGCGTATTCTCTGTCTGTAGGTTTCTTTTTCTTGCCTTTAAGCCAGAGCTGCCTCAATGCTCTCTCAAGATCCTTGAGACTCCAAACCATTTCAGATCCAAAGTTTCAGGTCAACCCCAGTGAGGTGAAGATGGCACCAGGCATCATCCTAGATCCCACAGTCCCAACAGGATTGCCCAGCCTCTTTCATCTGGCATCCGAATGAGGGCAGAGGGGGTCTTGTGAGCTCCACCTCGAGGCTGCAATGAAACGGGGCATCTTGGCATGAGAGGAAGCAGGTGATTCAGACATCTTCCATAATGCATTTAATAGTCATGTAGTCATCACGTGACACCGCTTGTGAACACCAGCGTGCAGCACTTCTGTAATCTGGGAATAGTTGCAAGCTTCAGGGGGTGGTGGAGGGGCTTATATTGAAGGGCCCAAATTCACCAAGTGCCTTCAAAACATTTGTCTACCCACCACTACCTTTGTGAATCTCAAAATAATAATAATAATAAAAAATCAGACACTCTCTGAAATCCTGGGATGAAAGAAGCACGCTCCTTCCTCCCACCATGTTACCAACTATGGAGCAAAAGCCTCATATTGTATAGCCTACTTTAATATTGCAGGAGGAACCAAAAAACCCCAGTCCTAGATCAGGTCACCGTTGTGTTAGGTGCTGTATGGTTCTCCAAAAATAAAGTGACTCCTCCAAAGGCCTTCTCGCCCTGTGTACAATGGGGGTTCCTCTTTCCAAGCAGCTTTGAGACTTAATAAAGAGAGAGAGAGGTTTGCTTCTTTCTGCAAAGTGGGGTCTGATTACAACGGTGCTTGGCTGGCTCCAGTTAAGATCAGGAGAAGAGAGAGAGGAAAGAAGACGCTACTCGTTCTTTCTCACTGTCGTTGGCTAAGTCATAAGGACAAGATCTAAAGGCAGTTAGATCCAAAGGGGAGGTTTTGGCGCGCAGCTCCATTTGATTTCTCTGCGTGTCTTTTTTGTATTTAGTCCTCAGTCGTTCACAACTTCGATTTCCTTAACTATAAAATGAAGAAAATAGTACCCCAAGCTTATAGGCATCCTGAAATCTGTATCTGAAGCTGTCCAGTCCCCATCAGGATTCAGTCCAAAGGTCCAATCCTATCCCAAAGAGGCATTACTTGCTGGGAGAGATAAGTGTAATGGGCAGGGAGGAGGGTTCACAGTCACATGTTGTGTTGTGTCACCTGGCCATGGTTGTCATGTCATCACCACATGTTAAGTATGTGCTGTATGATGTCTGAATCATTTAGTTCCTCACATCCCAAGGGAGGCTTTGGTGGCTGCTCTCTCCTGAACCCTGCGGATTTTGGATTGAAAGTCCCCTTAAAAGCCAAGGGCTTAGCCAGCATGGTGTAGCTCAGCGCCTAGTTGTGGGAACCGAGTTTCCGACCCCCATCCCGCTTGGATTACGTGGAAGGACAGTAATAAATGGTGGCCGCTTTGTGACACTGCCAGATGGGGACCACGCTCACCCGCAGAAGGTATTATTGTTTCTCTCAAAATAATATTCGGGCTAAACAAGTCTCTACTACTTGCTGTAGATCTCTATCTGTTCTTTACATTTTATTATTATCAGCATGTGTAGACATGAGCGTTTGCCCTGAACCACCACTTCAGTGGCAAATTCTCTTCCTGAACTTCATGGGGCTTGGATCTGGTTTTGTACCTTGTGACTTTGGTCTTTTATTTTTTCATCCTTCATATTGCTGGGAACGAGACCCTGGGTAGCAGGTCATCCCTTTAGAAGACGGGGTAGAGATGCACCTTTTTAGACCAAATAAGATATATATAGCACAAACGTTTGTGAACCCAAGTTCACTTCATCAGATGCTGTGAAAGGATGAGCAGAAATCAGAGTATAAGAAGGAGAGAAATCTGAATACAAAAGACAAGGGAGAAGGAAGGTGGGGGTGGGGGAAGGGGGGAAATGTCATAATAAAGGCTAATCCAGGTAATAAAATAATAATCCATAGTCCCTGTTTAAACCACACTTAACCAAGTTCAGTTTGTGGATGATTTCTTGTTCCACAGTTTCCCATTTAATCTGGATTTTAAATATTTTTGCCTGAGAACAACAATGATGAGGTCAGTGATGCCTTTAGACAGCACAGACCTTTAGAGGATAGGTTTTATGGCTTGATCTACTGAAGCCGTTGGGATGTTTTTTCCTGTTTCCCTTTGTTTCGTGCATATCTCGTCCTTGGCTGTAATAGCGGTATAGGTTCTGCCCGATTCGAAGTTACATCCTTCCTCGTCACTCCTTTTCCCTGGCCCATGCTAGCTGCTGGAATTTTTAAAAGCCAGAGCCTAAGGTTTTTGTGAACCTCCTCTCTATCGAGCAAGCCATCAAGCTTCAGAAGCCCCATGCAATGGAATTGGAAATGCATGCATTTGGTAACCAAGGCTGCACAGGTTTTATTGTACCCCTTAAACAAACACCTGGAAATGACTGTCTAGAGGTGGGAAATACAACCTTATGCAGCTGTGAGCAAGGGACAGCTTCTGGGTTACTGTGCTTGAAGATAGACTCAGGTTTCCAAGAAAAGTGGATTAATCGTGAAGTGTCAATATGGTCTTGCCTTTTGCAGGACAGTGGATATTATTTAAATATTCAGCATGTTGTGAGAGACTGACAACCGTGGAATCCTACTAGCCTCTCTCTCGCTATCACAAGTGTCTGAGAAATGGAAAGAGCATGGGCTAGATCTGTCCTTCAGACATTCTGGTTTGCATGTGGTGTGATTGTACTCCTGGTGTGGTCCTCAGATTTTTTATGATGCTTAAATGATTCCCACTTTACATGAATATAAGTGAGATGGGAGTAGGGTCCATCAGAGGACTGCTGAAGACTGCACAAGCAGTCCTGGCAACATGGATAGAAGACACTACCGCTGTACTACCCACTTTCCAGCATCCTTTGTTAGCTTAGGAGGAAAATTCATTCCAGATGATCTAAGTTCCTCGAAATGGGCTTCTCTCAAAATGTGAGCTCTCCGCTTATACAGCAGTCTCTGTGTAGGAAACGAGATGTTGACTCCTGTCCCTATTCCCCCCCTTTCTGCTCTTTGCCTCTCACAAACCATTCAGCTTCCCTGGGCATCTGCTGCATTTAGGCAAACAGCTAATTCTTCCTTTTTGTTATTCTTACTACAGGGCAACCATAGATGAAGTGGAAACAGATGTGGTGGAGATAGAAGCAAAGCTTGACAAGGTAAGATGCAGCTGCTCAGGGGGCGGGAAGGGACTGAATTTAGGTGGACAAAGGATAAGTCTTTGGTTTGACAATAGGGCCCCACCGGCTTGTTCAGAGAGGGACTCTGCTTAGAAAGTCAGGAAACCACTGTGTAATCCACTGGCTTAGTACACATGATCACATCCTCCTTCTACTGGCTGCCCCTATCAGTGTAACTCGGTGATAGCCAAATTTAGCTGTTCTTTAGTGCAAGTGGACGGGGCTCTTCTTCTTAGCGTGGAAGCATGGCTGTGTAGCTGCTGTGCCAGACTGAACCCCTGGAGATTTCCGGCTGTTATTGACTTGCTGTATGATGTTGCGTGAGTCATTTTGCCCCTCTGCCCTCCTCCCTGTAGCCATCAAGGCAGGGACCATCTCTTGCTACGTATCTACTCGGTGATCTACCGCAATAGGCTCCTTCTTGTAGTCGAGGCCTCAAATAGAGCCACTCTTGTGGAAGGGTCCTTGTTTCAGTTTCCAATAGTAACTGCCATGTCTTTGTGTAGCAATGGTGGTTTGTGATTGTGATGGTCCAGGGAAAATGCAGGATGAGTTGAATGATCTCTTTTACCGGACCAAGCAATCATATAGTTGGGAGAAGATGTCAGATGAGCTTTTGGGCATCTTGGGTCAGGTTTGGTGCCAGAGATGGGATTCATTTGGGAATTGTTTTTTAATAGTATCTTATTGATTTTGTTTTCACTGTAGCAAATTCTTTAAGTCCACTTGCTGTATTAACAATCACCCCCCAAAATTTCCCTCTTTGAGAGGGCTTGTGTTGTCCAGTGTTTCAAGGCAAGGGCTATGATTCACAACTCCTGGTTGTGTTCTCCTCTCTCCTAACAGAGCCTGACATACACATGCCTCTCCACACCACCTTTTCTTCCATAAGGAAATTTAAGATACCTGCTTCATAGGTACTTTTATCAAGCTGAGCTTGATAATTGTGAATGCTTTGAGACTTGTGGGTGAAAAGCACTCCAGAAATGCTCATTAGTAGTATATTTGTATAAGTGAGGAAGTCTGTGTGGGTATATATACCACTATCCTGCGCTGGATATAATTATAAAGGAGCTAAACCTGAGTGTCTGGACTCCCAGGCTGCTATCTTAGCTCCAAGAGCCACCTCCCCCACTGGAAGCCTGGCTCTGAAGTTTGTTACCAATTTTCCCCCACTTTATGTGCACATGGCTTTGTAAATTAGGGTTGTGTTTATGTAACTCAGATTTGTAATGCACTAGTGTATAGCACTAGTATTACACTCCATGTGCACAATTGGTTTACTGGGCTGGACTGTGCCTACTATTTCTTTTCCTGGATGCTGGGACCAGCATTTGATATAGGAGCATAGTAAAAACACCTTCATGTACGTACGACAAAGAATTCCCTGGATGTAACAAATAGATGCAGAAAAAAACAAGTCTAGCCTGTGCCTCTTGACCCTGTCACTTGAAGATTTCCAGCTATCTATCCATCTGTGCTACTGCAGGACTTGATGAGGTCTCTGTCAGCAATTAGCAATGCAAAACCTTCCATCAGCAAAAAATATGGTTTGTAATATCCATGCATTTCGGAGTAGGGGGCAGGGAGAGAAGTGCTGAAAGAGGCTTGGATCTCAGTCAAGAGGCTTACTGATGGAAGGCTGTTTTCCCACCCTTCTCCCCTCAAATATCTGAGACACCAGCCAAGATGTTTCTGAATGAGAACAGACAGAAATGTGGTGGAGGAAGCTGAGAAACTATTGAATTCTTAGCAGAGACTGCATGCTGCTAGATGGAAAGGGAAATCCGGCACAGGACGGGGAAGGTGGCCTGGTTTAAGCCACAAGTTCTCAGAGGTCAGCAGCCTGTAGGAAATGAATGGGTGGTTTTAGTCTAAGTTATCAGGACCGGTGTCTTCATGTGTTAGTGAACCCCCAGAGAGGCCCAGACTAACCATTCGAGTTGGTTATTCAGAGACAGGATCAAAGCACATTAGCTGCCTAGCATGGGGAAAGCTTGTCTTAATGGAAGCACTACTGTCATGGCTGTGGATATGGGAATTTAGTTTCTTGGACTGCCCATCTGGAACCCTTCACCAGCACAAGATCAAGCCCAGAGCATTCACCAGGGGCTAAGTTAAACAGTTAAATACTCCATACATATTTTCGGCCAACTATGGGACAAGATCAGAAATAGATCCTACAAGCTTGGCATCGGGACAAATAGGGTTGACTTGGATCTGAAGGGTCATTGAACTTCAAAGCCATTTCACTTCACTTCTTTTTGGACTCACCTCTTGATTTCAGCAAGATTTGGTCCTTGTTACATAGCGCAGCACTCTCTGTCTAGATTTGCACATGCCCTTATGGTGTTTTATAGTCATTAATGGAGGTATCCTGAGGACGCACCTGTGTCTGCTCAAGTGTTTTGTCCTATTAACATCAGACATCTGCATCTGAATCAGGAACCGAACCTGCATTTCCTTACTCTAGTTCAGTGCTCAGCCTACAGTTGCAGTCTTCCTCTCAGGGAAAAATTATGGAATAAGGTACTAGTGTTCAGTGCAAACATGGGAGTCAGAATCTGGCTCTTAAGATTGAATATTGAACTCTCTGAACTTCCTGTGGTTTAGTGGGTTTTTCAGTTTTTAATTGCTTTCTCCAGTTAGAGGCAGAAGCAGTTATTTCTAATGCAGTTTAAATACAGCTGCTTCCTTTGCTCACATAGGCTGACCTCAAGTTAGCCTCCAGCTGTTGCAGACTGATTTCCTACCAGCGGTGCCCAAGCTTTCTAGTATTTCAGGAGTCTTTCCAAAGCGAGGGAATGCGATTTCAGAGTGTGCTCGGGTTGAGTGGCCCTCAGCTACTAGCAAGACAGCCTTGGCTGTGTATGTGTGCACACAAGGAGGTATTTTAGAAACCGCCACGTTGCAGAGAAAGCTGGATTTCCTTTCCAAAGGATCTGTCGAAAGCTCCTTGAGTCCGTCTGGGCTCCAGATGCAATAGAAGCTGGAGCAGTTTGTTTTCTGTCTTTGGTGTTGGATGGAGCAGTACGAGCCTGCTAGCCTGTTCTGCTAAAACTATGTGAACAACAGAACAAGAGAAGTACAAGAACTGGATTCAGAAGCTGTCTGTTGGAGATGGCTAGGGAGATCTGCTGTCACCTCAGGGGCTAAGGGGAGAATTGGTCAATAAATAAAGAAATACATCTCTCTCATTAGGATTAGACAAAAATGCCTTTATAACCATTATTCAAACATTTGAGACCCCCTACCCCAACAAACGAGTGACAATTTCTTAATTTCCGAAATGCTTGTCCACAGTCTTGACTTTTCACGTTGCCAGAAAGCCCTGAAATGCAGTAAAACATTCTGAATAACCCCAACTTTGTCACCCTGCTGATCTTCAAAAAGCATTTTGACAGACACCCACTTTGCTGAGGTCATCCGATCCCATCAGTCTTTCCTGCCTTAGTGCCGGGGGGCTGGACCCGATGATCTGTAAGGTCCCTTTCAGCCGCTAACATCTATGACACTAGGAAATGAATATTCCCCCCACTTTTTTGAGCAGCCCCAACTGTGCATGGTGGGAAAGTTGCTTTGGGCTGTGGTTCTAAAATGACAAAGAGAATCCATGAGTTCTTTTGATCTCTTTCCTGCTTTCCATCAGGAGCTTTGTCTGTGAGCAGAAAAGCAGTCCTAGGGTGAAAAGGTCTAAAACGTGCTTAGATGAATGCTGTAGTCAGCAAGCAGTTAGTCTAGGTATGCTCAGGGGCTCTGCAGTGCACGTGGGTGGCTCTTGGGGGCTGGACATGCTTCCTGTAACTGAATTAGGACAAATGGACCTCAAGGAGGGGGGTTCCCAGCAAGAAACAGCCTACAGAAGCTGGCTATTGTGGTTCAAAGCTTGCTTCTGAAGCAAGGAAGTGGCCTTGTTCTTGCTGTCGGACTGCATCCTAGGCTTCAACTGAATTATTACAGCACGCGCTGGTTCTAAGCAGGAACAGAAGTGGGTTTGGGGCACGTGGTTCCCCAGTATAACAAGTCACATACTTGTTTTTAAAGTTGCTGAACCCCAGCCTCCCTGGAGCAAGGCCCTTCTAAAGCCCACCAAGCAAAGGCTGTGCTAAGTCATACGCAGTGCAGACACAGCTTCCAAGAGTCCTTTCAGCCACTGTAGCACATGCATGTGACCAGGAAATCAAGTCCTAGCATCCTTCCAAATTGATACGAATCCCAGTGCCTGGTCGTAGGCACATTACGCAGCTTTAAAACCAGCTTCAATCCACTAACTCAGAGGTTTTGGTGCGACAGGACTGTAGAATCTCACCACCTCCACCCTTGTTCCTTTGCATGCTACGCATGAAGCCCCCAGCTGCCAGGTAACACTCAGGGCAAATCGCATGCATATCAGCTCTGACACATGGGCCTGGGGGCTGATTAGCTTCCAGAGTACAAGTTACCTGCCAACGCACAGCTGCAGCTACTCACCTTCCAGTCCAGTGCCAGGGTACATTTTGCTTCTTCACCATCAGGCACGTAATTGCATCCCAAGAGAGCGTTGCTGGGCAGGCTGGTTGGCCAGATCAAAAAACCCGCTCCTTCCAAAGCAAGGAAAGTCCCAAATCCTTAGGGGCTGTGCAACAGTTCAGACCTTTCCCTGGGTGTCGGGGGCTGTTTCCCACTGCTGCCAGGAATTGCAGTTCCCCTGCTAAGTCCACCTAAATTTTTGCAAAAAAAATTATTATTTTGCAATAATTTAGTTGGTCTAATAAAAGATATCCCATCTACCACGAGTTCTGATTCCTTTTGCCTCTAGACCAATACGGCTGCAACCTGGATACCTGCTAAGTCCTGCTCTTCAGATACAAGGTTTCTGTATTACATCTTCAGGCAGCTACATGACCTGCCCTGTGCTACAAGTACCAGCCAGGGGCACCCAGCGCACAGAGCAGCTTACCCAGCTTCCTGCAAGCCCTGTCCTGTCCTGAGCTGTCCTCGGATATCCCCAGTCAAGCTCTTCCCTGCACACAGCCATCCCAAGCAGGCACCAAGCCCTCAAACTTGCCCTAAGCAGGCCTTGCTGTGCCATGATGGCACGGCTCTGAGAAGCCAAGCAGGCACAGGTGGGAGCGGAGGTATAAGATGCTCTTAAGCGCCCCTCCTGGCTTGTGACAGCCTGGTTAGACTTCCCCATTACTAGTGGGGGGCTCCTTCCATGCCTGACAATGCAATAAGGAGCCTCCCCTTCCTTTCCTGAGCAGCTGCTGTGCATAGACCCTGCAATACCTCCTGTTCTCAGAGCAGGGCACCCCTCAGCTCTGCAGCCCTCCTCAGCCAAACATCTTGGCCATGGCACACGTGGGGCATGGTTCCAAGCTTCACTTTGCACTCGTGAGGGCCAGATCCTGACAGGGGGCAAATTGGTGTTGTCTCACTGTCCTTGTGCACCCCCAAGGACCTGTGCTGTCTGCAGTGGCAAGGGAGTCATTCAGAGAAGCAGCACATGCCCGCCTGTGGTGCCAAAGGGCAGGAATTGGCCAGGCAAACCTCAAAAAAGTGCTGCGTGTCGCTATGGCAGAAATGTCAGCAGACAATAGCCAAGTATTTTGGGTAGAAAATGGACATGGGGTCCTTAATGCAGGCGCTTAGTCAGTAGGAACCCCCAAATACCACTGCATTGAGCAACGAGAGCGCTAACTTGGTAGCACTGCCAGGCTGAGCCTTGAATCTGGGCCCAGACGTCCTCCCCTGCTCGTGCTACAGGCTTACTCACTGAAGGCATGTGAGTATTATGTTCTGTTCCCTGTTCGAACGTCTGCGCCTTTCTCGAAGACAGCAAAGAATGGGGCTTCAGTTTGAATTTTCAGGCTAAGAATAGTCCAGGCTAAAATTTGCAAGATGCTTCAGGGGTGGTTTTCTGGTGTCGATTTGACGTGGGGTTTTTATTTCTCTCCAGCGGGTGAGTCATGCACTTGGGGCAACTCATATCTACTGCTGCCAGTCAGCAGATCTGCTAATCTGCCTCAAGCTGTATTTGCTTTTAGCTACAGAAGAAGTCCTGGGTTCAAACCTTGCTCTCACCACAAGCAGCAAGCCTAACTCTGCAATCTTACTTGCAAGTCCACTTGTCTTACAAATGCTTTGGCCAACTCCGTATGACTGTCCCCGCTCACATTTCTCCCTCCCCTTCTCTCTGCAGCTGGTGAAGCTATGCAGTGGAATGATCGAGGCTGGGAAAGCCTACATCACCACCAACAAACACTTCGTCACTGGGGTCCGAGACCTGTCTCAACAATGCAAGAAGGATGAAATGATTTCAGTGAGTCTCTTTGGGGTATTGGGCAGCAAATTTGTTGAGAGATGGACAACGCACGAGACAATGGCATTAAAGACAGGAGGGGTATTTCTGGGAATTGGCTCTAATCTGAGTGAATGCAAATGTTTTCCAAGAGAGGCCAGCAGCCCCCATTGCTAGAGGGATGCTTTACAGCATGAAATGGTACCTTAGGCTGTTATCTATTAGGTTGGTACCTTTAAGCCTATACGTGCATATGTTTCCAGGGAACGGAGTGGCAGAATTGAGAAGCAAGACTTTGGTTATTTTTGCCCTGCTCACCTTTGCCAGTCTCGTTCCAAAGCCCTGAAAAGGGAAGACATAGGGGAAGGGGGCTCCCCGTGACTCAGCTTATCTTTCTGTGAAATGGGTTCACTTCCTGGAGGGGCCACTGGAAAGGAAATGGCTGTGAGGTTAAATTAATATTTGCAAAGTGCTCGGAGATCATTGCAGCAATATGATAACACTTTTCCCATCAAAAGTAGGGAAATCAAACCAACTCTCAGCCCCATTTGGGGTCATAAATCATATCAAAATCGCCCATAAATCCATGAGAGCCATTTCACTGCTGGCTCTTCAGATGCTATGTATGGTCTAGATATTCTGAATATCAAATCCTTGGGGGTGAAGTTTATGTCTGCTCAGATTTGCTTAAAACCTTTGCGTCATTTTAGTCCCACGCAGGGCAGATTCAGTGTCTGAAAAAAAATCCCCTGATTTTTCACCACTAAAACGTTTGCAAGGGGAACTGTGGTTTTAAGAAGCCAGAGTGCAGACAGGGGCCTTCGAAACTGGGTCGGCGAGCATTAGTTTTTTAGGAAACGTAGAACTGTCATGCAAAAGGAATAACCAGGGGGGTGCTGTGCTCAGCACTAAACTGGAAAGGGGAGGGGAGGAAGGGCAGCTGCTCCATTAACCGCCTGCTTGCTTCTTCTTTCACAGGAGTGCCTTGACAAATTTGGAGACAGCCTGCAGGAAATGATTAACTATCACATGGTAAGGCACCATTTTACTCTCAGTTCTTTGCACGCTAGGGGCGAGCCTGTAATGGTCTTACCTTGTTCTTTAGAGGCTACATGATGATCTGCTGGCGTTCGGTGAGGCAGCAGTGACAGCACGGAGAGGGTGGGTCTAGGAGAGTTTCCTTGAAAAGGTCCCATTTTCTGCTTTCTTGGCAGCAGATGTGAGAGAGAGGTTCTGGGAGGGGTTGCTGTCACTTCTAAGAGGTTCTTTTCTCCTTTCCTGGGAGGTGTCCAGTAGGCCAAGCTCTGCCTCCGTTAGTCAGTGGCATTACTGCATCTGCACAATGGCCAGCAGTCACGCACTGTGTGCATCAGTCAGTGCAGTGGGCTGCACGGGTACATCGATCTGTGGATGTATATCGGCTTGCGTGACTGCTGTGGTCCATGGGGGTTCACCAGAGGTGTTGCTCCGTGGCTTGTAGAGGACCGTATGAATGATGTTAGTGCGTGGGGTTGGGCGTGGGTCTTTGAGGGCAGGACTTGTCCTGATGTCTTCAGCCAAACACACAGGACTTTAATGCCCTGCGCGGTGATGTGAAGAAGATGCTTTCAGCACCTTTCCGGGTATCGGATGCTACAGCTTTGCTCTCCCCTCTCTCTTTGTTGTAAGGCTCCTTAGCTTCTATAGGAGGATGCATCCGAGGAAGCATCCGCTGTGTATTGCCCATTCCAGCCATCAAAGCGATGCACGGTCTGAGAACGGCTCAAGGCAGCTGCGGCCCTCTGTGGTGTCTGGGGCAGCAGGAAAGATGGTCACAGCCTTTGCAGCCAGCAGCACGTCAGGGAGCAGAGGGGAGAAGGCAGGGCACATTTCTCATCCTTGCTTGACGTTTCAAAGCTTTCACTGCAGACTTGCAGCCGTCAGAGGGTCAGGGTCATAAAACCAGTGTCGGGGGAAGAGCTAGAACATTCCTTCCCCAAATGGAAAGAGCAAACATACGTAGTCCTGTGGTGCAGATGAATCATTCTTCTTTTGTGATTGAACCGGAGGCATCTTGTGAGGCCAGGGCAGGAACAGATGGGGTCCTGAAGGACCCCCAGCCCTGATGCCCTTTACCTGGAATCCCTCACTTTCAGAACCCCTCGTGGATTCCAGATGGGGAGAGCAAGGCCAGGACCCACTGGTTTCCCATCAGGATGTAGCTCTTCCCCTGCCAGCAGAATGACTTGGAGAGTCACCTGGCTATTCCCAAAGCAGGATGGGCTTTGGAGCTTTGCACTGTGTTTGAGAGTCCATTTAAATGCAACCCCAAAGCGGGGACCCCAAAGGATAAAGCGGACTATATTAATGCTATCATAAGGTGGAAGGAAATGCCTAGGGACAGGCTGATCCCCTAACCACACTGAATCTCGGTACGAGAGCTCTTTTGTAGAGTTACCCTACTGTCTTCTACTGACCAGACACATGGGAAGAGTATTTATGACCCTTGCAAAGTATTTATGACCCTGGTTCTGAGCCAGCCCTACAATACTTTAAGCATGGAAGCTCATAATCGATTGAAATGTTTTAAACTGAAGAAAGCTTCAGGGTGCCAGTACTGGAGTGACCCAGTTTTATCCCACGATGCTCCTGTCACTATGTGTTAGGAAGAGGGTGATGTGTACTTTCAGGACTCAGGTTAACTGGATTGGGTGGAAGGCAAAGCAGCAATGAGTCCATTTTATTCTTTGGGAAGCAGGTTGGGAGAGTTAGTTCCTCATAGGACATGCCATGGGGAGGAGGTTAAAACACACGTGGGTTTGAAATGCATATGATGCAGAAAGCCAGTAGTGAGGGGCTGAAGAAAACCATCTGTGTGTGTGAGTGCATGTGAGAGAGAGAGAGGGTAAAAAGGGGTTGGGGAAGAGAAGGCTAAGCTCAGGTCTACACTTGGGAGCCTTTCCTGATACAGCTGCCTCACCCGGTACACTATCCAAACAAAGTGTTCCTAGTGTGGATGCAACTTATAATATGAAACTTGTGCTGTCATAACTCTGTCTACACTAAGGGATGAAGCCAGCACAGCCGTACAGATCACACATCAATCCACGTTACACCAATGACCAATATAGTTATGCTGGCTTCCATTTGTTGTGCAGACCTG